TCAAATATCGAAACAAAATCTCAAACTTGATTATCTTGCATAGACTTGTACTCCTCATTCATTGCACCGATCCATTTTTTAGAGTTAGAACCCATGCATGGCTTGATGGAAATTGATTGAATCATTTTCCACCATTGCATCAGTATCCTCATATTTTTGAAGAAAGACTACATAATCATTCGGAATAGCATTTCTCCTCTCTTTCGTACATCTTCTTAGTGACATTGGCTCTTGGGGTTGTTGATTTTATTCTGCATAAACAATCACTTCAACTTGAGTAAGAAGTTGTTCAATATTGTCTTGGATTAGTTACATATATGCTTCATGAGCATTGATAGGTATTGGAACCTGTATATTATTAGAACAGTAATAGGGATCAAAATTGATTCCTTCTCAAAGACAATATCTCTATCTTATTTCTCTCCCCAAACTCAACATCCTCAAAAAATATTGCAGTTCCCATTTCAAAAATTATTTTTGTTATGGGATCATAAAACTTATAAACCCTAGACCATTTTGAATAACCAATAAAGTAGTTGTTTATTGTTTTGGAGTTTAATTTCTTTTTATTTAGTCTATAAGGCCTATCTCAGATGGACATCCCCAAATATGAAGGTGGTTCAGACTAGCCTTTCGGCCTCTCCAAAACTAATAAGGTGTTTTGGCAACTGCTTTAGTCGGCACTCTATTAAGAATATAAGTTTTAATCTTTAGTACTTCTTTCCAAAGTGATTCTAGTAAGGTAAAATGATTAATCATACTTCTTACCATATCCTTAAGAGTCATATTTTGTCTCTCAGTCACATTATTCATTTTATGCAAACCCGACATGGTGTATTGTGGAACAATTCCACATTCCTCTAGAAAGTTAGCAAATAGTCCTAGATGTTGTTCTCCTAAACCATCATGTCTGTCATAGTACTCATCACCACGGTTAGATTTAACACACTTTATTTTCTTAATGAGTTAGTTTTCAACTTCATTTTGAAATTTTTGAATATGTCCAGTGACTCTGACTTTTCATAAATAAGATGTAGGTACTCATAGCGTGAGTAATCATCTATGAATGATATAAAATATCATCGACCATTCCAATAAGTCAAAGGAAATGGGTCACAAATATCTGTATGTATAAATTCTAAAACGCCTAAGGATCTATTCGCACCTAAGCTCTTTTATTTGGTCTGCTTTCCTTTGATGCACTCAACACAAACATCTAAGTTTGAAACATCAAGTGAATATAAGATACCTTCTAACATTGATCATTTAATTCTAGATTTGGATATACGACCCAAACGCTTATATCATACATTTACTGAATTACCATTATTTAGTTTGCGTTTAGTACCCGTGAATCCACATGCAAGGTTTTATTATATAACTCAATATAATCAAATAAATACAGGTTGTCAAATATACTTAATGAACCAATTCTAACTATGCTAGAATTGAATGAAATAGTAAACTAATTATTTCTAAGGGAGCAATAGTAACCAGATTTGTCTAATGAGGAAATAAAAATCAAATTCCGCCTAAACGATGGTAAAACAAAAGCATTTTTAAAATCTAGATAACAACTGATTCCTAATAACCATCTAAAATGCCCTATTGCTTCAATTTCCACTTACTTGTCATCACTCACTTAGATGTATCTTTCAGCATCAATTGACTTTTGGTAG